TATCATTCACTATGCTTCTTAAACGTGTTAAAAAATAAAATTTTAAACTAAATTTCCGTTTTTATCTTGTTAATAATTCCAGCCTTTTGGTATTTTATCTCATGATAATGGTGATATTCGGCACTATTGCAATTTTATAGTTATATGTTTTGAATGCATTTCATTTTCGCTTTTCGAACTATTTGTCTTTCTGTCAAATATGGTGAGTCAAAAAATGTGTTGTTCTAGAAAGTGGAACATAGTGCAAACGAATTAAAATGAACCACAGTCAAAAGTCAAAGAGTAAAAAAATCTCACAATTTATTAAATTTAAGATTTCTATGTACAACATACATATTAATAAATATTTTAAATATATTGTTATAAGCATACAACAGAAGTAAAGTTTATCTTAAATTTGTAAATAAATAATTATCATTCTTAGATATAATTTTGATTTTTTCCATACTTTTCCAAAATTCCAAAAGATTTCAAAAAACTGATAATTATGGTAGATTCAAGAAAGTTGGAATGAACTATTTATAGTGGTTTTTGTTTTCAATATTCCAATATTCTAAGTGACCAACGCAGGTTAATATATCTATTAATTCTTCTTTTCGACATTTTTGTTAGCTAAAAAATTATTTTGAAAGCCTTTTGAGTGTAAATTTGAATGAATCAATAATATATTATTTAAATTTGCATTTCTTAAGATGAATTTTTAAAAAATGTTTATTTTCTCAAAATCTCTCAATTCTCAAAACTAAAAAACAAAATTAATATAGCTTTTTCCAGAAGTATTATGGAAGCTAATTATAGCATACAGCTCTAACTTCTGCATTATCTTTTAGTAAAGCAAACATTTACGCATATGCAGCGAATGGATAAAATTTGGATTTTTTTAATATTGGATTTCAGGAAAAATGCTCGCACAGGTTCATCAAGCGCATTTTTTGCAGTAAACAGAAAATTTGCAGGGTTGGTGAAAAAGTCAATGTAGATATTAAGCTCCTAAAAACTAAACTGTAGTCGGCGGTCAAGATTATCTTTATTATTATCTTCGTTTCTTCCTTTAATACATGTTCATTATTTGAAGTCACTTCTGAAGATGAAGTATGGATGTTATCCTAATGAAATCTTCAATCTTGGGCTCTCATTAGTTTTTAGACGACCTGACACTAGACGATCTTTTACATGCTCTGCTTCTATAATTTTTCTCTTAATTCTACTGCCTGTGGATCTTGTAATTTGTCTTTCTGGATATTTTGTGTTAAACAAATTACACACTTCTTCTTAAGTTCTTGTTTTGTCTCCATATCGAATAAACATTAAAAATTTAATTCCGTGCGTTTTATTTAGATGCGTCATATTCACTTCCTTTACTCCTGTTCATTGCAAAATTGTATTTTCTTTTTTATTCCCTTGAATAGAGTGTGATAAATGAATTTATTTAGCGTGTTACATGTAAAAAAAGGGAACTTGGTGTCGACATCTACTTTTTATACCTGCAAAAAAAAAAGAAAAAATTAATACGGACGTGTGCGACCATTTTTCCTAAAGTGTCTGACTTTTAAATGCTTAATATTATATGCCAAGCATAATAAATATCCCGTCACATTCAATAACGTCCGCAATGTCCCGTTTTAATCTACCACTTTATTAGGAGGAATCGACTTCGTCCCCCTTTGATCTTATTGCAGTTTAGCGAAAATACAAAGTTAAACATAACGAACGTAATTTGCATATTCATCTTCGATTATCAATTCCAGCATCGTTTGCGGCGCAACTTACACCTCTCATTTTCCTTTCCTGTTGCTTTCGTTTCGATCGGCACCGTATAATTATTACAATAATTTTAAACCGCCGTCCTACGGTCGCCTCCGTAGCGGTCGAGAGGTGAACAGATTTATCTAGCCGGGTCCAATTCATTTAGATAAAGTGGAATTTTTGATCAAGTCGTATATATATATTCAGGTTTATCCTAACAAATGGCCGGCATTCGCGTTAGATTGCATAAAAATTAACGGCTATCTGAAAAGGAAATATACGCAGACGGTCGGATCGACCTAGGTCTCACCTCGCCATTCCTTATATGCACTCTTGTAAACGAATGACTTGTGCCTGTTTTATTTTCGAAACTTTCTATTTGCTCTTGTAACAGCTCGGTCTGCTTGTGTGCCGCGTCTAAGTGAGAGAACGTTCCGCCGACATTTTTAAGTTTGCGAATTATCGTCGATTCATATTGTCACTGGCGCCATTTATATCGATGCGTATTAATATTGTCGCTTTATCAAGCGATCCTAAACTGCGAGTCGTATTTTACTAGCACGAGAACGTACGGCAAAGTGATCGAATATCGAAAAAATTATATTATGCAGTGACGGCAAAATCATTGGAAACGACAATTTTAATTGTTTAATTTGTTGAAGATATTTTGAATATTGTTGACATTGTTAGAATGTACAATTATTATACCATACGTTTAAACAATAATTTTATTCGCTAGTATATTTAATAAAACTTCCTTTTTGAAACTCATAAATAATTTTTAGTCAGCATTTACTAACAACACATAAGCTTTTGTCTAAATCTAATATTTAGTATTTAGCTTTCAAACAGCTCCTAGGCATGGACTGCAAGCCTCTAGTTTAATGCTGGCCCAAACTTCCTCGAAGAGTTGGCCGAAATTTTTAAAAGTTCCTGACCCTTACATTCTTTTAACGTTCATCAACAGATTTTCTATCGGGTTAATGTCTTGGCGACAAGACTGTAAAACATCCATATGATTATCCTCTATCCAGGCAGTGCCCCTCTAGCAGAATGCTTGGGATCATTGTCCTGCTGAAATTTTCAAAGTATCTATCAATCTATCAAAGATCTAGTGGACACCATTCCAGGAAAAATAGCCCCATACCATGATGCAACCACCTGCAAATTTCACTATTTTCATAGTGTAGTGTGGTCATATTCTTCATTTGGTTGGTGCAAAATCAAACGCTTTCCATCATAAATAATAGTATATTATGCAACAAGTGCGGTAAACGGCATTTGACACACGAGTTTATTTGACACGAGCTGCATATTATACTTTTTCTATGACCGTTAGTTTTTGGGTACATTTTCGCAAAACAACACGAATACATTTACTGACATGACCGTCAGAATTGACAAACGTCAAAATTCATTCAAAATCTCCGAAAACATCCGAATGCTCCCAAATCCCTGCGGTAAAATCCCGGAAATGTCCGAAATGGCTCGGATTCGTGGGAAACGAAACTGACGTGGTAAAGTGACACTTCCCGCACGCTAGATCGATGTGTAATTAGGTATTTTACAGACGGCAGTAGAAAACAGTATTTACCAGGGATGCATCTGACCATAAAATCTGCTGTACGGGCCTTATTCTTACTTGGAACCCCGCCAAAGATTATTTCCAAAGTCCTTTTTCTTGCTTAGTAATAATTCGTCTTTCATTTTCATTACAACTTTTTTGTGAATCCGTATTACTCATATTTGCAGAAATCCGAAGGAAGATTAACATTCAACCATTGAAAGGAATGTAAGTGGAAGTTGACAACTCACTAAATCTCATATTAGGTCTACCGTAGCGTTCCTAACTAGTTTCCCGTTTTCAAAATGTATTTTTTAAAAATAAATTTGCAAATAAAATTATTATTTAAACTTATGATTGTGCTTAATGTTAAAAAATAAACTGGTATATATCCCAACAATAGTAACAGTGATGTTATGTCCGAAATATGTTGAACAAATTTCTTAGTCCAATAATTAAAATTATCGTTAATTACCGTCTTCACTTAGTTTGCTCTCAAAAAGCATTTCAAATAGAATGTTAAAAATAAATTTAGTTTGGGTAATAAACAAATGTCTTCTTCATAAGATGTGTAAAAAATTGTGCATAAGGCGCCAAAAATCGTTTTTATTTCTGAAACAATTTAAAATACGTAAAAATTACAAAATTTTTACTTCATATACAGTACAGATTTTATTGGCTATGTTGTTGCCAAGTATCAATTAATTTCTGAAATAGTGGAAAAAAATATGTTTTCAATGCAGATTGTAAGCTTATGTCAAAACCTTGTATTTATAAATTTATAAATAAAAAATTTATCTGCTCTTATTAGATTAGTTTCTTCTTTTTCTTTAAACTTTATAAATCAGTTGGAAAGTGCTTTTCTTGATTGAACGATTTATGTGTTCCGCATTTCGTGAGCTAACAAAAAATAAGTACATTTCCGAAAAGCACAAAGAGAATTTCCAAATCTGCTGCGTTTTGTAACATTGAATCTATCTAATCAATGAAATATTTCTTCTTTATACTAATCACGCTGTATTAACAATAAATAAGGATTAATAGCCTCTTTCAACATCTTTTTTTGTTACTTTACATATTGTCAGGTGGAAACTTGTATGGCGTCAACTTCTTTGTTGACGTCATAGTAATGGAGTGCTTTAGCCCCGGAAACATGAATAGGGAAATGTGACTTATAAAACCCAAACTTTTATTATTTTTAATGCGACTTTGAAATTTCCAACCTTTTGTCGCCACACCATTAGCCTTTATTTACCACAACGAAAACCGTTTAAAACAATTTTTCAAAGGTTCGCCAGCGCGTTCGGCTATAAATCTCAACCTAACATAATTCATCGTTCATTCGCAAGGCGGTTATTAACAACAGTTGCCAATTAAAATTGACCTGTCTCTGTTTCATCATAAGGCACCTTGCATGTCGAGTCGATTCAAAACTCGACCTATCCAATGCCCACGTTCACTTATACCATTCATACGCGATATTGGTTGTTTTTTCTCCGTTTGTCCGCTGATATGGAAAAATCTCACCTCTAATGTTATTAACCGCTGAAAGCGAGTCGTTTGCATTTCAAATGTCTCTTTTACCATATTTGAACGTTTATATTGAGTGCTTAATTACCATTATTTACGCCCACCTTTACTAAATACTCCCACCGGACTAAATTTAATTCTTTTTTCTGTTTAACTTCAGATTTCGACGTTCAGCAAGACATCGTCCCACAGAACCTATTCGAGGAGGAAGAGAGAAGCAATAAACGTAAGTAAAGCCCGTTTTAGAAACGTTCGTTGATTTCTGATGAGCAATAAAATTTTGAAGACACCCTCACAGACTTAAAAACCTTCGATAGATTAGCTACAGGATATATCTCTGAGGGTCTTTGGAACACTACCAAAGGATCCGTACTTTGAAAAATGTAAAAAAAACATTTTTTGAATTTTTGAAAAAGGGTGTTTTTCAAATAATAATCTTATTTATAATATGCTTGGCCTTCGAAGTAGCAAAGGGAGTAAAACCCTATTCTGAATCCTTTATCACTTAGTTGAGAGAGCTTTGGACTGGTCACTGGGAAATCATTTGCATAACTCTTTATCAATACTTCTACATTTACCAAAATAATGCCATTGTTCTGATGGCCTGATATATTATGAGCATTTGAGAATTAAGAATTTAAGAATAGAATCTTTTGATTTGATTGCCATAAAACGCCTGGATGTAAAAGCAGCTTACTACGTCCAAGTTAGTCAAGGGGCTTCTCATAGTCAATGAAACATAAGAACAAATTATTTTTCAGGTCTCGATATTTTTTAAGTGTGTTAACATTAAATAAGTCTAAAACCCTGTCCAGAATTGGTTCCGTTTTTAGATTTTCTAATTGCTTACTCTAATTATAGTGTTGTGCCCGAGAGCAATTCTTGCAAACTACATATTATTCTAAACAAGTTTGGCAACTAAAGAAAGGAATATTCGGCTAAAGAGAAGGTGATATATCGCACTTACTAAATTAAATTTTGTTGGAGCATAAATCTAAATAACTATTAAAAGTTGGTGATTTTCCATGAACTACATGTCTGATTTATTTTATATAATGTGATACATAATTTTTTATTTTCTCGTGTGATATCTGACGTTTTAACATGTGTTAGGTCCACATTTAACTTAACTTATCAAACTTAAAGTGGTCTATACCAAATGGTGCTCTACCAATGTCGAAAAGTGGGTAGCAACTCTATTTGAAATTGCTCAAGCAGTCTACCGTCCCCTTTACCTGAAGCTGCTATTCACATTCCTTCCATATCTAGCCAGTGGCAATGATAACCAATTCTCATTGCATAGCGCTTTCGTAATATTTTCTCTGTCCTTATCACATCGCATGTTATCGTATGTTAGACGTCTACTAGCTTATTATGTTCAACTGAGTCAAACTCTTTCTCATATTTAATGAAACGTAAATGTAAACAACTCTTAAGCACTAATTATTTTGCATGACTTTTTGACCTCTCAAAGTTTTATTCAATTAATTTAGTGAAGCCTATCAAACTTGAGGCGGTCGGCGTCAACTGCAAACTACTGCAAAAGTTGCTACAGAAATGTTGACAGAAGTTTCTTCCTTTGTTTTACTCCCCCTCGACTTAGTGTTGTCCAAACGTTGAAAACATCGAAATATTAAAAAAACTATTTAAATCTTGTCATTGATGATTCAAATCCGATGTTAATGAATTCATCTTTCATATTTTATAACCCTATAAGCATTAAACGTACTATCAAACAATTTTTACAAATATACATAGTAAATATATCGAATTTGAGGACTAAGGAACGTATCCATTGAATTTTTGATCCACATACATATCGTATTATTTGTTTTGTCCATGGTTAGTCAATTTTAAAATGCTTTTAAGCATTGCATTTCTAAAGGCAACAATATTTACTAGTGCATGTATTTCAGTAAAACGTTTTTTAAAAATGTGTCCTAGATGAAGGTACATTTAAGTTTAGTTTTTAAAAACTACCAAAACCAAAGCAATAGAAAATTTGTGCTACGTGACGAAGGAGATAAATAAGAACTAAAAGTTCAGATTTTCACGAAATTATATATTTTTACATGATATTTGTTTCGACAACACCGTGTCTTTATCAAATGTATATTTACAAACTACCTGCTACTAACTAAATTGACAATAAAACTTTAATTAATGTTGTTGTGAGAATTTAAGTTAAGTTAAGATTTAAATACCTCTTCTTTATTGAACTTAAAATCTCACAACATTAATTAAGGATTTATTGTCATTTTTCGGTATATATAGTAACAGGTAGTTTTTAAGTATTACATTTGATAAAGACACGGTGTTGTCGAAACAATTGTCATGTAAAAATATATAATTTCGTGAAAATCTGAACTTTTATTTCTTATTTATTTTGGATACGAGAAGAAATGGTCCAAACAGATTCTTAAGGTTCGTTTCAGATAACGCAAAAAATATGTTTGCTAGATTCGTGCTAAGGGAAAAATATGATTCTATTCCATATCCTTGCCTTTCTCGTGGTCTGAATTTGTTATGTACGAGTAATGGTTTGCTTAAAATTAATGCTATATCGACTCTAATCGCGTGCCAGGTGGAAAATACTGTTTCTTTATCTTTATTAATACAAGTAGCTTCACAATCTTCGGCATTTTCATTTAAAAAACTTACTAATGGCAGAGCCGCTAGCTACTCTATGTATCCCATAATGAGAACTTGCCGAAGGTGAGCAGCAGCCTGACAAGAGTATGTTACGAAGTGTGATGCTTGTGACAGCGATTAAATACTCAACTAGTGTGTCAAAAAAAGGATTTTTCTGTACAATTTTGTCCTTATTTTTTATTTCTTGGAAGAATACTTCTTAATAATAAATACTAAATAAACAAACATTATCTTTTTTCATATTAAAAAAAAAACATATTTCCAATTTTTAATGGAATTTATATATATATATATATATATATATATATATATATATATATATATATATATATATATATATATATATATATATATATATATATATATATATATATATATATATATATATATATATATATATATATATATATATATATATATATTTATTTATATATTTATATGTATCCTTCACAGCAACTCTAGGCGAAATTTTTGAAGTAGTCTCTATCCCCTTTGCTTGAAGTGGCTGCTCGCATCCCTTCCATAACCAGCAAGTGTCAATGACAATAAAATTACATTTTCAGTGAGCGACGTTATCACATTTCCGAAGTACGCAAAACTTTCGTAATGTTTTCTCTGTTCTTATCATTTCATCGCGACGAGTAAATAAACCTTGGGCGTATTAAACTTTTCGCATCATACATTATCGTGTACACGGCGCCGATGCGAAATTAATAAACGATGCTTATCTCGACTCAAACTTTAACCTAAATCCAGTTAAATTAAAACGACACGCCTTTTACCGTTTTCCCGCGGCCTATATCGTAGATCTTTACTTGCAGATTACGCTGCCCTTTTAACCGGCCGATCTTCGCTCACGCTGAAGAACGAATTCATGAAGCCGACGGCCACCGATTGGAACAAGAACAACGCCGTGGCGACGGGAAGGTTCACTCTCCACAAAAAGAACCTATATTATTCATTTTACGTGTCGGAAAAAGCCGCCCGGCCTCATTCGTTGCAGTTCGTCAAAAGTAACGGCGACATTTTGGAAGAGTTTAAGCTTTCGTACGGGTCGAGCTTGGTGAACAGCGTATACCAGAACGCCACGCGGAAGGTGTGCGGCGTGTGGAAGAGATTGGCCAAGGATTACAGGCGGTACCTCAAACAGGAAGATTTATACGCCGTGCTAGTGTGGGGAGTCAAAGATCAGGCGGAGTTCACTCTGAGCGGGAGGCTCATGAAGTACGTCGCTCTGGAAAGCGAATGGTTCAGCTCGCTGCTGGAACCGGAACCCGACACAGACTCGCTGGCAATGACCGGGGCGGGAGGTACCGCTATCGTGTCGACTTCGACGTCGGTCACCCCATCCATACACCTGGCTATAATTTTCAATGGCTTATTCACTTCATCTGAAACTCGAGACGTGCCGATAAACGTGACGCTGTCGCTGGACGAAAAGAAACAAGTGATACTGCAAGAAACGATCCACGTCCCGAACCCCGCGAGAGACGTGAACGTAATCGACATCAGTTCCCCACTAACTTCAGCTCATTTGCGTCTATTAACCAGAGGTCGCTTGGTATTAAGCGTTTCCTCTGTTTCCAAACCCGATGCGCTTAAATTGAGCGGAAACGTCATTACTAAGACGTCGTGCGAGCTGTTCCAAACGGCCCTGGCGTCGCCCGGATCAGCCCCCGACGGAATCAACGGCATGGCTTGGTTTTACCTCAACAACGACGGCTCGCTGGTCTACAACATTCAGATCGATAAGCTTTCGGCCAAGGAGAACCCTCCCATTATACGACTAATCGACGTTAAAACCAAAAAGAACACCGAGGACTTGACGCCGTATTTCCAAAACGACGGATGGGCGAACGGCACGCTGGACAAGCTCAGTCCGAAGGTGTTGGAACCGCTGTATTCCGGCGACTTAACGATCAACGTCGGCACCGCTAGCGAGAACACTTTAGTGAAAGGAAGACTCGTCGCCAAGCCGGTCACGGATGCCAGGGATTCCCCGGCCCCCGTTTTATTAAAACGGGAAAATTCGAGTCTGCCTGCGTCGGTTGTCGGTCTCGCATGGATATCCGTGGACCTCGACTGTTACATCCATTACGACGTCTCCGTGAACGGCATGAGCGGCGACCGGAAATTGGAGCTATGGATGGAATTGTATCCGTTGATAGCGCCCGGCGCTCCTTTTATCAACAAGCACCTGGAGGACTTTCAGGGGAACGCGGTCGAAGGAAGTCCCGTCGAGATTCTCACGAAAGAGGAGCTCACTCGGTTGGAGAACGGTGCCAGTTTCATTAAGATTAAGGACCAGGAGACCAAGGCTGTCCTGCTAATGGCAATAATTACGAAGGTAAGTTTTCCTGCTGCGATTGGGTGTGTTAAAACTTTACGAATTTGAGTCCAAGCTGAGTTCTAAGTGCCTCGAAGTGGCAGAAGCACTTCAGAAATACGCTTTAAACAATAATGTTAACGTAATAATCTAATGAGAATTTCGGGATAAAGTACCAACTAATCCAATATTCAACGTCCCTACACTTGTTTTCGTGATAGGAAGGGCTAATGGAGAGATAGATTTGTCTGGGTATATGTTTATAACGGGAAGAAGTTACTAGGTAATAAAATTTATAAATATTCGGTTCAGTTTTGAACTCGGGACCATTTCAGTTTTTTTTTGCTTTTTGCACATGTTGGACTTTAATATTCGAGTAGCAGAGTTTTAAAGCGCAAATTTCAGTTTTTTTTCTTAATACCAGTTTAACAGTAGCTCGTGCGTACTGGATGCGCAAGATATGCATTTTGTATTGCTACTAATACTAATAAATATGCGCCCAAAAAGTTTTCAATATATGTTTGTCGAATATGTTGATTTTTGGAATAATTGTTGTAAGCAAAAGGCTACAACAGACACCATACCTTTTAGTGCTACATGATTCGGAAATTACAGGTCTATATTTGACAGTTTGAAAAATGCTGTATTTACTTTGATATTGATATATACGTTATTAATTTAAACATTAGTTCTGATTGCTGTTGAAATTATCATCTATTTCCTACTCTTCAAAGTGACCTTCAATTTCTTCAATATATTCTTCTATTTCTTCTTCTTTCTCTTCTTATTGAGGGGATATTTATAAAATATTCAAATAAAGACTTCTTATTGTAATCTACTCGTAAAGTAACAGAATATTTTGTCATCTTCAATGGCGAATAACTTTTCTTAGCACACGCAGGCACTTTTGGAACGTTAGTTCGTTTGGTGTGTCCTGCTCTTTTAAAATTATTGCTATTTTGTTACTATTTTCTTGTCTTATTCTACCGGCTTATAAATAATAATATTCCAAAAGTAGTTCATCTCCTTAACTGGATCGGTAAGCTCAAAAGAAAAGAAGCAACCTTGTCTTCCTCCGTGCCAATTTAAAAATGGATTTTACATTAAATTGTTTTTTAATTGAATTTTATTTTTATTTATTTTTAATTTGATCGCATTGTAAATAACAATATTTCAAAAGTAGTTCACCTCTTAAAGTGGAGTGGTAAGCTCAAGAGAAAAGAAGCGACCTTGTCTTCCTCCGTACCAATTAAAAAAAGATTTTAACATAAATTAAGTTTTTACATTTAATTTTTGCTAATTTATTACTGTTTTATGTCTAATTTGATCGAATTATAAATAACAATATTCCAAAAGTAGTTCACCTCTTAAAGTGGAGTGGTAACCTCAAGAGAAATGAGGCAACCTTGTCTTCCTGTGTGCCAATTTAAAAAAGGATTTTACATTACATTAAGTTTTTACATTGAATTTTTGCTAATTTATTACTGTTTTATGTCTAATTTGATCGAATTATAAATAACAATATTCCAAAAGTAGTTCACCTCTTAAAGTGGGGTGGTAAGCTCAAGAGAAAAGAAGCAACCTTGTCTTCCTCCGCGCCAATTTAAAAAAGGATTTTACTTGGTCGGAAGACGACAAGTTTGATTCTTTTCTCCCGGATTAGCAATAATATTCTGAACGTCCTACCATAGTAGATACTTCAAAACGTCAATGTTTAAAAACCAGTATAAATATTTATTAATGGTTTGGAAATTTTTGAAAACTATCAATATCCGACAAGTTTATCAGATACCACTTCTAGGCTTAGTGTAGCGTACCATCTACCCTTACCAATGAAAGATGGGTGAAAGTGATAGGTATGGCTCTTGAAAATTAATATATGCAAGGACTAATATTTCAAGATAATTGAGTATTGAAGAATTGAAATTTGCGCTTGTTACTTTGAATTTGGTTAGAGTATCGTCAACCCTGTACCATACTTACTATTAATTTCTCTTTAGGTTTCCATACCACCAACATGCCGGTCTTCCTATTCCGCGAACGACAACAACGTCCGACAATTCGACCATCCCGAAATCATCTCGACCGGGGAGTGCTTCTTTGAAGAAAAATTCTACCAAGAAGAAACGTCCTGGGTGTCCTCTAAGAACCCGTGCCAGATGTGCTTCTGCCAGAACGGCATAACCAAATGCGACTTTATGCCCTGTCCCGACATCGATTGTCCGAACGGAAAGAAAATACACGTCGAAGGGGAATGCTGTCCGGTCTGTTCAACCAACGCGACTATAAGCGAAAATAACATCCAGAAATGCATATTCAACGGACGCTCGTACTCACCGGGAAGCAAATTTCACCCGTTCTTGATTCCTTCCGGTTTCGATTTATGCACGGAATGCACCTGTGATCTTAATTATCCTGAGATCAAGTGTATGAGGTTGAACGAACACGAAAAGAATTGCTGCAAGAACTGCAAGAAGGGCGGTATCAACGATAACGATCCTCTTTCTGATGACTTCGTGCCAGTTGATATGACCAAGTTTGCCAAAAAGGATCAATACGTGAAGAAGGAAGAGAGTCTGGCCCACAAGATTTTATCCGAGGGGGGATGCAAGAATACGTACAATCCCAAGAAACCGTTTGCCAATGGAAGCGAGTACCACCCTTTCATCGATTCGCTGGGGGAGTACAAGTGTGTCACTTGTAAATGTCAGGTCAGTTGCTTAATAATAATAATAGTAATAATAATAATTGTAATGACTGTAATATCCTCTGGGGCCTACCGTGCCTGTTTTACAGAAAACACAATGTTATCAGTTAAACTAGCAAGATTTACTGAATTCTAAAATAAGTCTAAAAATGAAACTGATCACTTATATAACTACTTGGACATAATTGGTAAATTTCATCAAACTACATATTAAAAGATTCAATTTTTTGATTTTTAAAAATCAGATTTGGAAATACAATTTTTCTCGCTTAAAAGCATTCTTTGATTTTTCGTCTGAAACTCTGCATTAGATACATATACGGTATGGTTTGGTTAATAATTTGTGGAGTTTTTAATAAACATTAAACATAAAGGTTCATTTTGGAGTTTTTTAATGTGCCTGTTATTATTATTATTAATTTTGCCTTATTAAGAAGAATTTGACACTACACTACTTTTAGTAATCCGCTCGCTGTATCATGATCTGTAAGGAATAAAACTTTTATCATAGTAGTCAGTGGTTCGTAAACAATCGATATTAATAAAACAACGGTAGGCAGCGTATTATATTAAATATAATACCACCTGAACTACAGTTATTAAAATCGGAGGATAGATTGAGTTTATGACCAAAGTCCTCGTTCAGAAATGACTTTTAAAAATTTTGTATATAAAGGACTAACAAAAAGAGTAGTTTATGAAACTTTAATATTTTCCGTATAACAGGAAAGTCCGAGTCCAAGCCCGAGATCTGAAAAAAGGTCTTTCTATTGGATTTTTCAAGGAATGTCTTGAGAGTAAATGTTGGTTTGGGCTAAATCTAACGTTTTTGAATGCAGTAGAACTGTTTTATGTAATTTGTATAGTTCCTCTTCACTTTTTTTCCGAAGTGCTTTTTTTTTAAATTTTGCAATCATCACAGGTTCGTTTTCATGAAAACTCGGAATAACTCAATAAAAAATCATTAATACCAGGCAAACTGAATATAAAGCACTGGTAATTTGGGCCATTATAAAGTGGATTAACACTGCTTAACACTGCATTTACGGTTAAAAAAAATATTTCAACAAATTGGAAAAGGTACTATTGAAATTTTCCTGAAATATTGATTTTTAATTTTTATTAAGAATAATAGATACAACAAAATTTTGAAAATTACAAAACTATATTAGTCCAGCCTATTAATTTTCGCAATTTACTTTAATAATATCTGGGGGAAAAAATTGCTTCAAACTTTCATATATCGACCAACAACATCTTTTCATTTCATGCCTATATAAAATTCCGATACCGATCAGGATTGAAATAAACATAAATTTGTAATTGTTAAAAAGTCAAAATCTGTATAAATCTAAATTAGCGTGAATGGGTTTGTTTTTGTTTGAGAAAAATGTAGATGTCCAAATTTTTAATGTGTTTTTCTTTGCTACTTTTAACTCCAAACAACTTTTCCTATCAGCAATTTGGTACCACTTTTATATGTTGTATACCATTTGACCATTACCATTTTTAAGTGCACTTAAGCTTTCAACACTAAATTTTTGGACAGAGAAAAGAAAACTCTAAAATGTTGCACTTTTAATTGACCACGATGTATATTAGGATCATTACCGGTTTATCTTTTTTTAAACAGCGTAAATCTGTTGAAGTACATACATACGTGAAGTACATACGGCATCGCCATTTAAGTTACCGTTAGTCTTATCGATAAAGAAACTAATATTCTCTGAACAATCTTGTACATTTGTTGTGAAATTGTTTTTTTTGTGGTAAATGCCAACAAATTATAATTCGCAGCAATGGTAAGAGCTCTTTTTTATACAACACTAGTAGTTAATTTTATCTTCGCATAGACCAATAGGTATGAAGCTATGATAATGTTTCCAATACCAAACTATGAATATTTTTCTTGTGCTTCCATAACCCTGTCGCAATTCAATACATTATTTCAATAATTATTTATCTAGATTGAAACAAAAAATATCAAAATTTAAATAAAATATAATGATTTTTTTTATTTTTGCAGAACGGAGAGCAACTCTGCAAGCGGCAGCATTGCAGCGTGAACACGTGCAAAAAAATGTTCGAACTGAAACGAAGAAAGGAGAAGATAATTTCGTCAGATTTCTGTTGCTCCCTGAAGGATTGCCGTAACAAGCTCAGACACAAAAGAAGGCCGCAGGTCACGAGTTAAAACCCCGGTTGGTTTTTGGATGAAGCCAAACGGATTTTTAAATATGGAACTTAGGGCTCGGTCCCAGTTACCTACGTACCAAAGAAGACTGAAACAATTGTAAGATGGACGGCGACGAGGTGGTAATTTAACTTTATGAAAGCGCGCAGGCGCATAAATTCATTGTGAATTCTTTAGGATTAGGGGATAGTGCAGTCAGCAAGTTCGAACGGCAGATTATTTATATTTATTTTTGTTACTTATTTGGTATAATGCAGGGATCAACTTGTACGGCTGCAGCCGAGGTTATTTATTTGACATAATTGTAAATTATTCCATAATTGTAACGAGTTTCTATGTGTTTTCCGGTGTCGCCAGCTTTTCGCGTTTAAAAATATAGTTATCCAAACGAACAGAAAATTGTTGAGGTTGAAGATAATATTTGATGACAATGAATTAACGATTTGATTACTTCGGAGGCACCATTTAACACTCCAACACTGGTAGTTACTCAATACTCATTAGAGATAAAGGCTGAGCGATATAAGGAAAGACATCAAATTACGGGGTGTAGCCAGTTTAATTGGCACGTGGCATTGGAAGGCATTTACGTTAGAGGGGCCAATTAACTGGGAAGCGCTCCGTTATGTATAATACTTCTGTATAATATTTATACTTCCGTAACATAGTTTTTGATGTTTTTCCAGTATGAAAATATACCAAGTTTACTTTAATTAGGACATATCAAGATTGGTGCCATACCATCAGTTGCAGGTACTTAAGCGCCATGCGGTTCTTGTAATAAAAGAAATCTAGTCCCAGGTAGCGTATTTTGTATAATGGATTGAATTTAGTTTTCTTGTTCCGCGTCGGGTCATTATGATGAAGGTGAAGAAAATGTGCTTGTAAGTAACGGAAGGCTTTGTGATAGACGGTAAATGATTTGATTGTAAACAAAAGTTTTTTTCCGCAAAAACCACAATACGTATTGGAATCTCCGTTTGCAATATTTCAGTATTTTGCTAAATTATTTTATTACCAGTTAACGAGTGAATGCGGTATATGTTTGGCGATTGAGATTGATAATTTTAATTAATGTAAATATATCGATAGTTTCGCATTAGTAAGAGAAACGTATAGTAATATGCTTGTACATTTTTCTATTTTGTAAGAAAGTGGATATTTTAATTTATTAGTGAAATAAAACCATATATAAACTAACTTAATATCAATTAAGTTGTAATATATTAGGTTTACGTATCGGGCGCCACTTTGCATTTGATAATATTTATTTAATAGAAAGCAACAATATGTAATTGTGAATATATATCGAGATGTGTTAGCAAATGCACTATAACAGTACAGCTATGTTTAAATCTTGTACCTGCTTTAGGTCTAAAAATACATGCTTGATTAATTCGCAGTTGTTTTCTCTTTACGCTTCCTGATTTCTGTACGAGGCACCCGTATTGGAAATAAATAAATTTTTTGTCTCCTATCTAGGTAAGTGTCATATGCCTTTGTAAGTATCGAAATTTCTTATAGGTCATTAAAAATATTTTGAAAGTTACACATTATGTTGATATTGCGAGCTTTTAAAAGAGAGCAAGAAGGAGAAGGAAGGTTACCCGGTAGAGTGAGACGTTGGAAATAAAAATTCAAATGTGTCAATAGAGTCAAACCGAAAAACGTGAAGTAATTTCCCTTACACAAAGTTTGATCGGCATTCACATCAACAGTAGGATTATTTTCAAAATAATAGTTTCATTGGAGCGACGTTTAGCTATTCACATCAGAAGTAAGATCGTTTTCAATATAACATTTTCATTAATGTGACATTCAGCGAACTGTTATCTATCAAGATTATTGGGATTTTTTTTCCAACTGACTTATAATTCTTTTCGTGAATAGTTTTTCAAATGAGATTTTTGCGATGTTATGGGTTTGGTGTTTTCGATCAACCAATTAACTCTATTATTCAAATGTGTGACAACACATAAAAATACAATAATTTAAACTACGTATTTGCCTAGCGCTATTAGGTATTGCAGAGATTAAAGTTCTCCTTAAACGAGTTTTTTGAATATAAGTTAGTCGGTGTTTATATGAGAAGTGGGATTATTTTCAAAATAATATGTATTTCAGTTAAGTGACATTTAGCGATTTACATCAGAAGTAGGATTATTTTCAGTCTAATAATTTCATTAAAGTGATATTGAGCGAACTGTTTTCTATCAACTGGATTAGTACTTTATAAGGAAATCTTATATCTTAGGAAATGATCCTTTTGACAGTCCTATAAAATTTATTACAACAAACGATTTGTAATTGCAAAAAAATTTTTTTTTAAGTAAACTAATAGAACAATTGACTTTTTTGCAATGATATTACTTAAATTTTATTTGATTTTCGATCAACCAATGGACGGCTATTATTGAAATATTTTTTTTAAGTGTGAGAACAAATAAAAATTCAATAATTTAACCTACAGGTTTGACTAGTATTATTAGGGTCTTCGAGAATTAAAATTCTCCTTTAATGAGTTACTTAATATAAGTGTCCATGATGTTGAGTCGGAAACCAAAATCTAAAAACGCTCCTGGTTTGGATCACATGCGAAGTGATGGAAATTGCGGAAATGAATATTACGACCACTGACATTTATAGTAAATAAATGATGTCGGTTGGGTTGTTTTCCACCGGGCTTGAAGATTGGTGTCATTAAACCGTTATATAATCATAGACAGTGCCGCGTTCGGTCACCGCTAGGAATTAAAATATACTTTTGACGCTATAATTATGGCCTTCAGATTTTTTGTTCAATGGTCGTTTAATGGCGTAACAGCTGAGTTGGCAATGTTAAAACATGACTAAAGCAGAGGGCGTCGATATATTGACGCTCCTTGCACACTGTATCGGAACTACTGGTAACTAAAGTGGGTAGATTAAGCAGGGATCGCCCCTATTTCTCAGGTAATAAATAAATAAATAAATAATCGTTTATTGACCACTTATAAATACAAAAACGTATTTTTGAAGTCAGGAAGACTACAAACAAGATAAACATATTACATAAAAACAGTTAAACCAGTGTAACCAGAAAGTAACACTTTGTACACTCTAAGAATAATTAATTTATAAAATAACTTTGATCGACTGTGCCTGATGAGTAACAAGTTCGTTTATAGAATAGAAACAATGCTCTTCAAAAAGCTTTTTTGATAATTGTTTGAATTTTGTTTGAAAAAGAGTGTTTGCAAAAATTTTATACAAATGTAGATTAAATTTACTTTTTTGTGTAGTCAGCTGTTCGCGTCATGTAGCTGTGATATACAGCACAAGTCGGAAAAACAGACAAATTTGAGTGTACTTCAATTAAAGTTTGGAGAATAAACATACATGGTAACGTAAGTATTCTCAATTTTTTGAATATTGGGCGGCAGTGGCTGGACACCCCCCAAGACCCGAACCGCAAACTTCTGCAATCTAAAGGCTCTCTCGGCCTCTGTCGCTTTCCCCCTCAATAGTAGTCGATATGATAAGGCACTATGAAACAGTGCAAAATAAACTACACACAGGTGGTCTATATGAGGCGCCCAGATTAAAAACGCATCTAAGTAAACACCAAGGAGTTTGACCGGTTCAGATTTTTTACTTCTTCTATTGGTATTGAAAACTAGAGTCTTTGTTTTATCAGAATTAGATTTAAGTTTATTTGCAGTGTAGTGGCAGCCTTTTTATTTAAATTAATTGGATCTTTATCCGATTCAATCAATGATGTGTCATCCGCATAGAGTATACTTCAAGCAGTATTTGTTGCTAATACTACGTCATTTATGTATATTATAAACAAAAGTGGATCAAGGATGGAGTCCTGATGCACTCTATTAGTAATGTCCAATAGAGTGGATTTCCGATCATTCCAGGCAACATATTGCTTTCTTCCGTTCAAATAAGATTTTAAAAGGGCTAGGGTATGGGACCTACCCTACCGAAGACCAAATTGGGAATCAGTTAATAATTTCCTTCCCTCAAAGTAAGCGATAAATTTATCTTTTATTATCGACTCAAAAATTTTTCCAATGATAGGAACGATTGCTATGGGTCTGAAATTATCTAAGATATTAGTATCCCCTTTTCTATGGAGTGGAAGAATTTTTGTCACTTTTAATTCATCCGGAAAACATCCCTCTTCAATGTTATTTTTTATTAGATATTGATTGTTTAATAATATTAGCATTTAGACCATAATAGTCAAGACAATGAGAGTTTTTTAGTTTCAAAATCGCTTCGCTAACATCACTCTCCACAGCTGCTTACATAAAAAACGAGAAATTGGGTCTAGTTGATCGGGAGATGTAGGTCATAGCATCTACTATTGAAGGTGTGATGGTTTTCGTTATCTCCGCTGACACAGAAGCAAAATATCTGTTGAACTCCAACGGAGTAATTGATGTTGAATAGGATTACTACGCTTAGACGGTCTCTCCGAATTAACAATATTCCATGTCGTTTTAGATTTTTCATTTTAAATCAGTTTTCTTTTTCTCCACCTTTATAGTGTGACGTTATTCTTTGTGGAACCGTTTGTAAGCATGAAAGTCTTGGTTACTTTTTGAACTATGGTGATTTTTTTAAGACAGAAAAGATGCTGGCGCATTTCTTTAAGGTTATCATTGAACCATCTAATTGACGAATGATGGATAGTTGAGTTAACAATGGGAAAGGAACTGTCGACAGCTACCCTAAGTTGTTCAATAAACATACAACAAAACTCTACGCCACTTTGTTCGTTACTGACAAGTTTGGGCCACTCAATGTGCACCAGACTGTTGTCGAACGCAGTTATACGTTTTTTATTTATTAAGCTTCTTTTAATTTTATCATAATCAGGACAAAGTACCGACGAATTAACTTTTATTAATTGTTCCAAATGATCTGACAAAACGGGATCACAAACTAGGACACTTAACCGGTTATTAGGAAAGTTGGAAATTACATTGTCCAAACACGAATCTACTGATTTAGACTTCCTGGTAGGTTCTTTTAGAAGAAACTCTAAGCCAAACGAAATGAATAATTTTTTTAACTCCTCTGATTGGGAGGTTTTCTGTGTTAAGTCTACGTTAAAGTCGCCAACAATAATTAAGTTATCATAACGTTTATAAAGGAAACTTATAATTCCGTTTAAATGATCAATGAAAATTGATACATTACTTGAAGTAGAAGATCTGTAAAGAGTAAGCAAAACAGTCTTATTATTAATAATTTCCGCTGCACAAAATTCTGCATGACTTTGAACAGCAAATCCGGCGACACCTAGATATTTGTATTTGATATGAGGTCTTGAAAAAATCGCAACGCCTCCATGTTTATGTTTCGGTCCATTATTATAAGCTTCATCAGGACACTACAATATAAAAACACTCATTTGAGCAAAAATTAGAATAATTACAAGTATTTAAAAAAAAAATAACTAACACAATTTGGCACTTATTCCTCCACAGAGGATAATATCATTCGGCGTTGTTCGCACAACTATTACAAAAACCAACAACTAAAAATACTGAACCATCCCGCAAAATATCAATAGATGTCTACTACAATTTAGAATAATTAACTAACCGTTACGAAACTCGAAAAATAATGGACGATTGACCGAATAGAGTTAAATTACAAAATACATAAAAAGGCGCAAAAACAAACGGTTATTTTTGATTTGTCAATAAGAGATCAAAAAATTCTTATGTAAACAGCAAAGTATAAACTACTTGTTTTTGACCAGAGAAAATAATAAACTGGCCAGAACTAATGACTTAAGTCCTACACTCGCAGATGGACAGAATAGAATGGTGCTCCGGCCCACTTTGCTCGAAAAGTGTGTGAAAATTTAAATATGGTATTTCCCTGACAGAGGATATAGGAGAAGGGGATCAGGAACTGAATGGCCTGCATGGTGTGCATATGTTACTCCACTGGATTTTTTCGTCTGATTACTGGAAATTGGTCATGCGTAATGCGTCATTGGTCTTTCATTTGTCATTGGTAATTGGTCATTGGTCATTCGTCATTTGGTCATGCGTCATTGGTCATCGGTTTTTTGCGTAATTGATCATTCGTTATTCCTCATTCGCTATTAATAATACGTAATTCTTCATTCGTCAGTCATTAAGCGTTATTTGACATTCATTCGTCATTAGTAATTCATCATTGGGCACCCGTCATAGGTCATTCGTTATTGGTTATTCGCAAGTCGTCCATCGTCATTCGTCACTTGTCATTAATCATGCATAATGCTTCACTGGCCAGTCCTTATGCGTCATTAGACATTCATTCATCATTAATCATTAGTTATTAGTAATTCGTCATTAGTCATTGCTCATTCGCAATTCGTCAATC